GTCAAACATATATTTTATTCAAAAATAAAAACATCATCGCTTTCTCAAAATCACATAAAGTCATATTATAACATCGACTGAGATAAAGAATAAAATAAAATATTAAAAACATGATGTATCTCGCTGCATCGAGTACTCTTCTAGTATATATATATATATATATATATATATATTTAGCCACTTTTCAAAATTTCAATAACTAATATATTCACGTGCAAGTATGTTCATCCATTTTTTGTTACTAATTATACAACATCACAACTTACTATTCATCTGTACAAGTTATTGATGCATTTAAACTTCATTACATAGAGACTTGTATATGTCTTGCTTCCTAATCCTATCATATGTCATATGCCATTCATAAGTCTCATTTAAGAAAAACAGTTTCGATGAACGTAACAAAGGATAACGTATGTCTACTATTTCTGTTGCAATCTTTTTTTACGACCTTTATCCAAGCCACGGATTATGCATTCAACCCCTATCGATGACCTTAAATCAACTCCCTCGTGCTCAAGACCTTGTAACATTCCCAACATCATAAACTCATGTCGCATGGCATCGTCTCTTACAAATTGCCTCTAAATAGGACCAATTTTGTCTCCATTCCTATTTTAAGACATCAGTTTTCTGAACTCTTAATCTAAAAAGACCCAGTAGGCCAAATTAACTTTTCCCAAAATCGGAATAAATTTGAGTTGATTCTAAAAGTTTGTTCAAAAATGTTTATATATTGTAACAAAAATGTTTGTAGCTTAATATGCATATATTGTAACAAAAATGTTCGTAGCTTAGGGTTGTTTACCAAACACTTACCTGGTAAGTGCTTACCGGTAAAATTTAACTCTATTATTTACTTACTGGGTAAGATTTTAATCTACCAAAACGACATCGTATGTGACAATTTGCCCGGTAAGCACTTACTGTGGTAAGAGTCGTCGTCTTTACTTACCAGGTAAGACTCTTGGTCATTGTCTCATTTTTACCGGATAAGGTTCTTGGTCCTTAATATATTCATGATTCATCCGGTGAGGTAACTTGACTTGGTAAGATTCTTGGGTAAGATTATTGGTCCTTACCATATTCATGATTCATTCGGTGAGATAACTTAACTTGGTAAGCACTTATCCAGATAAGTGTTTGTAAACGGCGGTTACTATTTTTGTGCCAATATGGGTTGTGTTTGATGTGCAATCGGGGTTTCAAAATGGGATATTAACCTTAGAGTGTGCTTGTTTTCTAATGATGGTTGTAGCAATTCTCCACATGTATACTATACAATTGGGGTTTTAAAAGTCACGACATAACGTAAGACGCGTCTCCACTGTTATGATAAAGCCTATAGTGTTTTTGTAAGGTGTGCTCACGCCATGGCGTCGCAGTGTGCGATTTTGACTCGGTGAAACATTTTTCAGATAAAAATCTTTTGATTCTTTTTTGTGTTTTTATACTTTTATCTTTAGATCTTCAGTCTTTTACAGATTTACCTAATCATGTGACTCACATGGATTCAAACACGTACCGACATACGGTTAAAATAAAGTTATAAAACCTTTCAAAATTTTACTTTGAATATTTGATCAAGATTCTTTATATAATATTAATATATATGATTTTTATTCTTCTAGCGGTATCGTAGCCCTTGGCCTTCTAGGAGGTCAGGGGTTCAAATCTCACCATAGATGAAAAGGGTGTGTGAGTTTATTTGTTGCATTTGCCGTATATAAATATTATATACTTGAAAAAAAAACATGTATGTGTATATGTAATTATATATGTGAAAAAGTGTCGCGCACTTCCCGATAACCGATGACAAAAACGTATGCTTTTTACGCCTTCATGCCCAACAAAATTTGAAAACGAACAAACAAACAAATGTAATACAAGTACATAGTCGACAAGTCAACATGATTTCGACTGATTTTAGTTTGACTAATACATAATTCACATTGTCTTACGAGCAAAACACAACCCATGAGGAAACTCGCCATCGCTTCTGAACTAAACTATGGAACGTAACTTGTTAATCAGAACTTGTATATGTATTATCATAAGCTAGTGATGGTAAGGCGAAGTTGCTTGGATCCTATGCTTTCTCTTTTGGAGGAACCTCTGCAACGATCTTTTCATGGAAAGCCCAGCTGGGCTACACACCGGAGGCGATATCAGTGGTGAAGACGGCTCCGAAGAAGGAGTTGAGCCTGGTGTTCTTCTCCATTTCTCCTCCATCTCTTCGCTTGCTAGCTTTATTATCGTCCTTGCCTGCAATCAAATTCACATATCATTAATTGCGCAATTATCGACACTTACTTAACAATTTTGATCATACTAATCGTATATTTTAGAGGGCAAAATGTATCAAAAAGTTTAGTTTAATTACATATTGTTTTTTAAACAAATATTAATTAATATAATATAAGATGCTTTTAATTAAGGTTGCTTAAAAACCCAATCCAACGCGAAAACTCAACCCGATGTCTAATCGAGTTGTAAAATTTCAAATCTTAGGTATTGAGTTACTGTTATTTGAATCCAACACAACCCGATGAACCCGATAACCTTTTTCTTCTTGGATTTAATATAATTGTTGAATTCTATTAATATGTTGATTAATTACACTATCATGTACCCTCTTCATATACACGTATTTTTAATATGTTATCCATCTTTATGTAACTCACTCGTAAATATGTTAGTTATCGTGAATATGTATATATATATATATATATATATATGTAAATGTGATTTAGTAAGATTTAAGAAGCATGGATAAGTTGTATCAAATGATTGATGATGAAAAAGAAATTATGAGTAGAGAAATAATATATTTAAGATTAAAAGAATATTTTAATGTACCAAAGTATCAACCCGACCAACCCGTATAATTTGGGTTAGGTTGGATTGGATTGAGATAAGATTTTTCAAACGGCAAACATTAGATTAGATTGTTCAAATGTCTTCAACCCAATTAACCTAACCCATGAACACCCCTGCTTTTAATCTCTTAATTTTGTACTTGTTTTAAAGCAAATAAACGTTGCGATAAAGTTGATATTTTCCAAAAATGGCTTTTGACAAATAGAAAATAGCAACTTACTCTTTCTAGAAATGTGTTTGGTGGTTTACTTTATTCTCACTAAAATAATATTCTAAAATTTATAAATAATTAATAAAGATTCCTTTTCTTAATTTAAACACCATTTAATTGAATATCTAATTCTATGAAAATACAACATATTATATTATGGTTCAATTTTTATTTCAATTTTATGTATGATTAAAAACTTGTATATAAATAATAATCATAAAAATATATAAGCCATTCATGTTACGACACGTGCCCTTATTCATCTCAAGAGGATGGATGCAGGAAATTACCTGAAGCTCAGTGACGTCACAAATGCTGACCTTCCCCCCGTAGAAAATCGTCAGCTGCTGGTGGTTCTGCTGTTTCTCCGTCGAATCTCCGGCGAGCGTTAGTTCCATTCCTTCACTAAATCGATCAAACCCAAAAACCGTCGATTAGTAATTCCATATTAATTATATATATATATATATACAGATTTTAAGCGATTGAAAAAGGGATCTCACCTGGGTGTTTCTTGACGGTCATGGTGGTGATCGGAAAAAAGGAATGGCGACGGCGGCACAAGGCGGAGTTCCAAATTGCAGTTCCTCCTCATGTTTAGAGAGAGAGAGAGAGGTGGGTGGAATATACAATCGGTGGCCGTAGAGGATATGGTGGAAGAGATAGGGAAGAAAATGGAGAAATATATGTGTATATATATATTGTATGTATATATATATATATATGTGTGTGTGTATGCTGTAGAAGGAAATAGAAAGCGGCGGTGGGGTGGAGATGGAAAACTGGAAATGAAAATGAAAAGGAAAGAGAAAGAGAAAAGAAGCACGTGTAAAACGATATTGCCACTGACCCATTAATAAACACCGCCACCGCCTTCACTCCTTCCCACGTTGTTGACGTTCACGTGTTACGGCTGATCGACGCTCCATTTTCACCCTCTTACTCACTACCAAATTTAATCATCATAATTGTTATGTATATCTGGATAGAATTTAACATTATTATTTATTTATTAGATAAGATTTTAGTCCATTAAAACTACATCGTATACAACAATTTAATTGGTAAGCATTTATCATGGTAAGAGTCGTCGCTCTCACTTATCAGGTGAGACTCATGGCCGTTGTCTTGTTTTTACCGGGTAAGATTATTGGTTTTTATCATATTCATCCGGTGAGATAACGTGACTTGTTAAGCACTTATCTGGGTAAGTGTTTGGTAAATGGTCCCTAACTCTGAAGCAAATGAGATATTCTATTATATCTTTTTGGACCTCAACCACTACGTTACAATCTTTATGGTTAAAACCTCTTTGTTTTGTAGTCTACTAAAGGGGTGATTGATTCACGTAATAGGATTCGGTTAAATTGGAATTTGTCAAATGAATTGGAATGTAATTTGATGAAGTTTGATCACATGTTTGGTTGATACACTACAACAATATTTTACATTATAGGACGTCTAAAATGTCTAAACGTTCTAATATAATATTTATAACTTCAATTTATGAGACCAAACTATAAAATGTCTTATCTAAAAGTGTTACAATCGGTTTATAAGATGTTTTTATGACGTTTTTAAAAGATAGGTTCATAGGACGTTCTCAAAAAAAATTGTAAAATAGCTAATAAGACACTTTATTTTAAAAACGTTATAAAAATTTGTTAAAATGTTCAAAAACGTCCTACAAACCTATTATAAGACTTTAATATATGGCATTTTGTGGTTTGATCCTATAAACTTAAGTTATATAAAGTATTTTTTATTAGGACGCTTAGACATTTTAAACATCCTATAATACTTTTTTATGACAATTTCATATAAACTCAATTTTGATGTATTGACATGAATTAGAACGAAATCTCTCAAAATAATTTAAATATCCATGTTTGGTTTATAGAATGTAGTTTTCAAAATTTGATTGAAATAATAAAATGACCAAAATACTTCTTTATGACAACTTCATATTTTTTTGCTCAAATTGTAAATACTATATAATAATAAAATTAATGATCATGTTAATCGATGGTAGGCGGCGACAACAGTACCAGTGTTGGTGGCGGCGACAGCAGTACTAGTGTGGCGGCGGTGGCTGCACCGACGATGGTAGTGGCGGTAAGGGTGGTGGCGACAGGGGTGGTAAGAGTGGTGGTGGTGTTGGTCGTGTATATATTAGGCTAGGTTGTTTTAGTTAGTTTTGTATTCTTTTAAAGAGTATGAATAAAGTTTAATTGCATCACGATTGTGATAGAATGATGAAATCCATTGACAATGGAATTTGTGAATCTGATATCATTCCATATCCAAATAACTGAATGAAATTTGGTAAATGGATATCGATTTCTTTATATTCCATAAGAATCATGTGAACCAAATGATAAAGGGTTTTTAATTAAACAATTAATTAGCAGTTAATTAGACACTTCTTGATTTTTATCTAGTCTATTCGATAAAAGATTATGATTCTTACCAACCATTTTATAGTATCATATTGCTAACTGAGAATCTTACCCTGTAGAGAAGCTTGGTGATTATTAGCCGGTTAATGTTCACCTTATAAGAAACACTTATACTCTTTATTTTAATGACTAAGAATCTTAACCTGTAAAGAACATGAATGTGGTGACTCTTACCCTATAAACACTTAGGTGTTGTTTGGTTTGCAGAATTCAAAAGAATTGGAATGATCAATTTCTTTGACCAAATTCCAATTTATTTGTTTGGTTCACATGTTTTATTCCTTTGAATTGCACAAATTAATGAATTCATCATTCTTTGGATAAGTGAAGGAATTAATTTCATCCATTTGCATCTAATTTAACCAATACCCCCTTCCCTGCCCCTACTATGACCATGCTACTATTGTCACTATCATGCCCCGACTCCTAACCCTACACTACATTGTCGTCACACCCACACTCAGCCCGACATACCACCCCCGCTACCCGACCATTATGTCACCACTATCGCCATTAAATCACCAACCGACCACCATGTCGCTACGTCATTGTCATAACTACCACCCTCACCTACCCACACCTCATGGGCGTGTGGTGTCGGGAGGGGAGGGCGGTAGCTATGATGGCGATAGTAATGGCATGGTGGTTGATAGGACATGGGTGAGTTCGGGTGGTTATCGGGGCGGTAGTTGTGATGACAATAGGCCATTAGTGATGAGGCGAGGGCAAGGTAAGCGTTGGTGGGGTGGTAGTTGTGACGACAACGGTAGTTGCGTGGAGGTCGGTAGTCAGCGACCCCCCCGACCACCACCAATACCATCATGCCACTATTGTTGTCATCATAACTGTCTCCCCCACCCTCCCCCAAACAAATATGGAGATTTCAATTCTTTTAAGGGATTCCATTCCAATACCTCTCGTGCGCGGGCGGATAGAAATGCCTATAGATAAGGTAGGTAAGGCTAGCCAACCAAATGCGTGGTCAAATTTCATTCCAATTCCTTGAAAGTCAAATTCTTTTGATAAATTTCAATTTGACCAAATTCCATTATGCAAACTAAATGCCCCCTTAGGTATTGTTTGGTTCATACAATCCATGGGATTCCAAGGGAATTAGAATGGTCAATTTCTTGACCAAACTTCAATTCCTTTGTTTGATTCATTTCTTAAAATGGATGAAATCCTTTAAATTCCACAAACTAGTGATTTCATCATTTCATGGCAAAAGTTAATGAACTGAATTGCATATCTTGGAAAAGATAACATATTTTGTAATTTGGTTTAAATATACAAAAACAACATTTGCATCTAATTTAACCAGCAACACCCGACCTACACCACTGCTATCACGCCATTACTCTTCACCGTTCCAACCGCCACCCACCTACCCTACCCCACCACGACCACACCATTACCATCATAGTCACGTCTATGACGGTACCACTACCCCCCCCCCCACCATATCCTTCTCCACACCCCTTCCATCACTCACCCACCACCATGATGTTGTTATCACCATCACAACTGCCACCCCTCCGGCACCTATGTCCCCACCCACATATCCTACCTGCCACCCACCACCAATACCACCATTCCACTACCATCGTCATAGTTGCCACACCACATCAACAACCCACTCTGATACCACCATGTTACTATTGTTATCATCACAAATGCCACTTGTCACCTCCACCACCCACCACCATAACCCTACCATTTTCCATCGAATTCCATTTCAATTCTTTCAAAGTCAAATTACTTTGATGGATGACAATTCCACCAAATTTCGTTCGGCGAACCAAATGCCCCCATGAAGCATCTACAATAGATTCTCTATAATTTTCGAGAACTAAAAGATAAAATCCTTAATAAAATATTTAGACTAAACTCCAACAGATTCTCTATTTTACATGTTTCAACATTAATTATATTATCAAAATATTATAGATTTTTGTATTCCATATAGAGTTTAAAATTTATATAAAATAATATAATATAATCTTTTTGATGAGAATGAATAAAAAAAATCATTTATCTCACTTTTTTTTGAAGTACATAATATTTATATACGGCAAATGCAACAAATAAACTCACACACCCTCCTCACCTCTGATGAGGTTTGAAACCTTGACATCCTAGGAGGCCAAGAATTGCGATACCACTAGGCCAAAGACCCTTTGGTTTATCTCACTTCACGTCCAATATCAGAGAATTTTTCAAACTTGAAGCATTCTCTTATTTTCTCTATTTTCAGTGAACAATATATAGAATCTAACAGAGCAAATAAAGAATAAAACCTTAGTTTATTAAATTTTAAAGAATCTATTAACAATGTTCTAACCTAGTTTGTGTCAGTAAAGGATCCTTAAATATATGTTCTAATGTTTATTCAGTTATGTAAAAATTAAGCTTATTTGTAAGAGAAAAGTCGAGAAAACCCCAATAAATTTTTTCATATTAAATGATTAAGTTCATGAACTTTTTTTTAATAAATAAACCATTGAAATTTATTATTTTATATGATTATGTTTCTAAATAATTATTTTTGAATAAATTAACCATCGAAATTTTAGAAATTGATTATCTAAATCATTATAACCCAAAAAAACTACTTGAAACCGGCTAGAAAAATTTTAAAGTCGGTTTACTGTTTCCAAACTCAACCCTCATTCAAATCCCTTGCACCCAACATCATCATTCCCCTCCTCGCCCCATCGTCATCCGCTCTTTATCACCGCCGTTAGTGTCTGTTCTCTATCTCCGTCTTTTTTTCATTCTCCTTTTTGATTTTTTTTGTTTTTCGATTCTCCCTCTTTTTTTATTTGTATATACTACTCCATTACATTTGTTGTAAAAGAGAGAGAGTGTAGAAAGACAAAAACGGATAAAAAAAAGAGAGAGATCGATGGCTGGGGCCAACAAGGGCGATGAGCAGTATGGAGAACGGTCGACGATGGAGGCGACCAAGGAGAGCAACGTCATTGTTGAATGACGTAAGGTTGATAATGATAAAACTAATTTAGTTTTTTTTTTTAGTTTTTTTTTAAACCTTCCTAACCAGTTACAAATAGATTATTGGGTTAAAAGAATGTTTATAACAAGAATTTTTAAAAGTTCAATGGTTTCTTTATTCAAATAAATATTCAGGTTCTTAATCATTCAAACTAATAAAGATAAGTGATTTATTCATTCAAAAAAGTTCAGAAAACTTAATCAATTAAAACAGTTCAGAAAATTAATC